TGATGAGATGGATGGGATTGCCTGATTGTGAGATTGCAGGGGCAGAAAGAAGCCCTTGCTCCATCCTCTAGCTGTTTAGTCAGAGGTTTAAAGCCCTTCAGTAAAACACAGCCATTTATTCACATAGTCCCACACAGACTCAGAAAGAGGCTTTTACAGATGTTGGGTGGCATGACAGTTCAATGGAAATGAGCACTGAGTGTTCTAGAATGCTAAGCAAACCAGGTCAATCATAATGCTGCCAAGTTCTGCACTGTTTGAGAATTACTTTAAATGATATTTTAACATATTCCTGAAAAGGCTCAGTTCTGAACTTTGTCATAACGTTTGTACAACCAAACTATGGTGCAAATCAACAGGTACTTTAATCAAACATTTGAAAGGCTGTTATGGTTCTGTACCATATGCTCACTCTAAGTTGGTTACGACTTTAAAAATGAAAAGCACAGCCACCTAAGTGTGCCCACACACTACAGTTTGCTACCGCAAACCCACTGAATTGAGGATGGAAGGGTGTATAAAATCATTTTTTGTTACATTCAAAAGTAGCTAATATGTTATTCAATGAAAATTTGGTGCAATTGGACTCAATGAGATGGGTCCAATTGCACTTTCAGAAATTCAATTTGCTGCATTCCTGCTTAATTTCCAGTCCAGTTCTTCAAATCGCATTTTATTAATTCCCATCCATCAATCGTTCAGTCTAGTGTGCAAGTGCCCTTAAATGTTCTTTATCTATGCCGCATATTGTTTTTTGAGGAAAAACAGTTTGGCACTCAATAATGACATTGTTTTACCCTTGAGTGAATGCTCCATTTCAGTGTGTACGTTACGTTAAAAAGGCCCATTTAATATGCAGTTAAATAAGGACTCAGGGTTCTCATCCTCCTCTGCTAATGAATACTCTATATCAGGCCTGCAGAACCACCAGAGAACAAAAAAATTGAACTCAGCTCAGTATATCTCATTAAAAGTGAGTCAGTCATTTTGACATGTGGCACCTTTCACATACCAACAGAAGTGCGTCAGCTATCAGTTAAGATAAGTATGGAGCTAAACAAGACGCTATTCTGAAACTCAAACAATGAAAGTGATCGCTCATAGTGCGTGCTGGAACAACGTTGTTATTAGTGACACATGACATTTTTGAAAATTGCTAGGGGAAAAGTGATGAATATTCATTAAAAACAGGGTGTCTGGCCAATGCATGCTTGCTGCTTTTAAGACATAACCGCTGCTACTGGATTAGGTCAGCGAGTTGAACTTGAGAACTTGATCAAAGATCAAGAACAAATCAAATTTACGTGCAAAAAGGAGACTGTTGCATGTTTTCCAGAAGATTAGTAGCGCACAAGTCATATGGACCATTTTTTTGTGGTGCTATTGCCCCCTTTTTTGAAGTTTGAATGCTTCAGTCAACCTTGTGATTTCATGATTAGCACAGTCTTCAAATTTATCATTTTGTACTCTTCGGAATAAAGTCACATAGGTTTGGAACAACAATAAAGTGAGTACATGACTAGACTTGCTTTTTGTGTGAACTATCCCTTTAAAATAACTGCATAAGCTTTTAATCTGGGCTGGAACATTCTAATAGACATAGAGAGGTTTAATGAAGGTCATTAGTTTGCAAACAATAGCCATTACAAGAGTGCTGCAGCAGGAGGCAGAAGGGATGACACTCTCTCCAACCCTTTGGAGTGGATTGTCTTGAGCTCAGCCAATCCATCACAGGAAAAACAACCAAGACAAATATCATTAACCATCCACTGGCCCTCAAATATTATATTACAGACAGTTAAAATAGAGTGGTGGCATTGTGGAAAAGAAATAGAGGCCTGGAGCAGAGAACAGAAAACTAGAACAGATATGAAATGATGATGAGAGGATGAAACGGGGAAAGACGAGATGATAACAGTGAAATGATACATAAACCTCTAAATCTTGTTGCATGTGTTTTCTAACAGCTGTTCACAGTTGGAAAATATGATGTGAACGATAGTGGACAGAGAGCTCAGGTTACTGTGGCGGCTGTAATCTCTTTTAGAATTAATTCCTGGAGACAAATATTATTAACCATCCACTGGCCCTCAAATATTATATTACAGACAGTTAAAATAGAGTGGTGGCATTGTGGAAAGGAAATAGAGGCCTGGAGCAGAGAACAGAAAACTAGAACAGATATGAAATGATGATGAGAGGATGAAACGGGGAAAGACGAGATGATAACAGTGAAATGATACATAAACCTCTAAATCTTGTTGCATGTGTTTTCTAACAGCTGTTCACAGTTGGAAAATATGATGTGAACGATAGTGGACAGAGAGCTCAGGTTACTGTGGCGGCTGTAATCTCTTTTAGAATTAATTCCTGGAAATTGAAATGGAATTGAAAGTAAGTGTCTGGTCACCCCTCCTCACTCAAGGTCACAAGTGTTAGCCGAAATGACAGCATTTCCACCTGCCTTAGGCTGATTGATTCAGCGCATGAGAGAAATAATGAAAAAATCTAAAGGTTTGGTCCACAAGGGTGGATAGAGCATGTGTTTCAGAGTGTCCACTTCCAATGGAGACTTCCTATCTATCTATCGATCTATCTATCTATCCATCTATCTTAGTTTCACAACAAACAAATCAGGTGCAATATTATTGGTTGCTTAAACTGCATATATATGTTACATTCAAATGTGTCTCTAGGGCGCTGCCTGATTTATGGAAATCAACCAATGAAATCAGGTCATACTTTTCTGTACAGCTTTATTTTTAAATCGTGGGTTAAATGTAGCGGACTGCCACATTATTAATAAATTATATGTAAAATTTTGCCACCTTTTCCCAACTTCTATACATATGCTCTGAAAGACTACTGTACAGTAAGTGCAAATATCACTGGGATGGTATTGTCCTCTCCAGTGAATTGGACGAGGGAAGCAGGCTGACCTACATGCAGCAGACCCTATATCCCAGATAGACTGGCAAACCCTGAGGCGGCCATCCTGCCCTCGCTTGCCCATTTACTGACAAGACCCAACCCGCCAAACTGGGTCGCTGGTGCCGATACAGAGCAGACCTCTCCCTGCGTCCTTCAGCCTGAGGCGGGTTGAGCTGGCAAGCTGGACCCTCTCCGCCAGCATAAGATCATTCCAGAAGACCTGGGGTTTGAAGGGGTGGGGGTACACGCATGGTGTTCTGGGTCAGCGTCACAGCGAGAGAGTGGAATGGCCCAAATGATGCTGGAGGCCTGCCAATGGCCACCCGCAGTCACACACTCAGAGGTTTGTAGTCCATGGACACAAAAAAATATACATTACACACTTGAGCACACATAGGTCATAATTCACTAGAGGGTTAGCCCATGGGTCACATGTACATATGCATTTAAATAATGTCTCCAGACACTTGACATTTTATGCAACCGGGTCACAAATCCCTAAATGTGTCCTACTTCACTACCACAAGCTATGGGTGTCATTCACAAAGACATTCACAATCACACTCTCACTGTCACACATACACAGTGGCATGTCAACATGCCAGCCATCGGTTGCCCAGGGTGCTGTGCTGTTTAGCACTACTGTTCAATTCTATGACATCTGCTGTTACAAGCGTGAGATGCAAGCACCTCTTACCAAGTATCTTTCACCTGCTGGCTAACACTAAGTGAAAGCCAACCTTCCCAAAGGTTTGAGAGAGTGATTACAGCGCCATGCTTTAAAAGAGCACTGCTTAGCAGCTCTATTTGTAGAGGAAATGGTTTAAAATGGTGAGCCCTATTCTCCTCGAGCAGGGACCATCTTAGCTCCCACTGCATGACAGGGGAGATATTTTAATCTTGGAAGGGAGGATAAAAGAGAGAGAGAGAAAGTGAGAAAGTGTCCTTACACCACAGGCCCAGCTTTGCACAGTACAGAGACTCCCTCTACCGCATCCAGAGGAGGCTTAATCCATCTGAAGAGAGCAATAGCCTTTGGCAGCACACACACTGAGCTTGTCCAGTACCCCTCCTATGAATCCCTGTGGACCAAGCACACCGGTCAAACAGTGTCGGCACTTGCTCACACAGTTCAGTCAACAGAGAAGTCTCACTGACCAAGTGTTTGGTCAGACCACACAAATCACTCCACATCACATCAACTCGAGGGGAGGGGGGTCCCAGCTGGGAATGTGGAGGACAAAGTAAAATCATTCATCAATCGGACGGTGTTTATCTGAGAAACAGAAGCAACTGGGTCCAACTCGCAGCGGTTCACTTGCAAACTGCAGACAACTAAACAGATCTACAAAATACCAGAACCTTGAAGAGAGAGGGGAAAAGACGGAGAGAGGAGGGTGAGAGAAAGAAAAAGCGAGAGAGAGAGAGAGCATGAGCGGGAGAGGAGAGAGAGAGAGAGAGAGAGAGAGAGAGAGGAAATTTGATCAAAAGTATGAATTTTGATGCAGGACACATCTCAGGTACTCAGAAACTGATCTGAAACCCACTGCGATGTGTGCGTGTCATATTTAGCAGGCTGCTGAGCTGCTCTTATAAGTGTAGATCAATGGACCACCCAGTACTTCTTCACATACATTATACATAGGGTGTTGTGGCCTAGTGGCTGGTAACCAGAGGGTTACTGGTTCATTCCTACAAGGGTTGAGCCTTAAGCAATCATATCAAACTACATATTTTTTAATATATTTATAGTTACATAACATAAATAGCAATAAAATCATTAACTATACATATACAGTATATTATATAATACTATATACTGTACTTATCATTTCAAAACTATATA